TCATATTAAAAAATCATTAATTATATGTGTAAACAAATTAGAAAATATACCAGAAAGTGAAAAAGATTGGCATCCTGGTACAAATAAACAAATATTAGATTTAGTTCATCCATCATTATTTTGTTTTATTAATCAAGTTACAAGAATTATTGATGATAAAAATGTTGTTATTAATGTAGATAATGCTTTAGAGCATATTAGTGATGGTAAAATTATTAATATCAATCCTATAGATTTATCATCAGAGAATAAACGAAGGAGACCAGCATCTAATTATACTCGATCAAATGTATATCAATGGCTACCAGCTGAATTTAATGTTTCAAAAGATGGTAAAGTTACAATTGAATCATATATTAATAATTTACATCCAATTGATAATAAAGAACTCTATAGAATCATTGAACAAATATTTGAACAATTTATACCTCTATTTAATAAAGTTTTAACCGATTTAATTCATTATCAAAATAAATCGAATCGAATCTCTGTAGATCCTTTCCGATGGTATGACGATTCAAACTCAGTTGATTCTGAAGACGATGATGATAATGATGATGATGATGATCGTGATACTAGACCAATTACTATACCTGATGTCGGAGAATTTGAGATAACATCGTCAACACCACCAGTAACAGAAGTTATTGATTTATGTGGAAGAAAATTACAAGTTATTGTTAAATTAGCTAATATTGAATTGACACCAGAAAATCCGAAATATTCTGGTGGTGTTTGGCATGTTGAAGGAATGAAAAATGAACAAATTGTTTCAACAGGTATTTATTATTATTTTAATTCAAATATAACAGAATCAAATTTAGAATTTCGAACCGTTATACGTGAACCAAAGTATGAACAAAATGATAATCGTGGTGTAGAAACTGTTTATGGTTTAAATGATGAACAACCCTTAAATCAACCGTTAGGTGAATTAATTACTCAAGAAAATCGTTGTATTGTATTTCCAAATATTTATCAACATCGTATTGCACCATTTCAATTGAAAGATTTAACTAAATCAGGTCAACGTAAAATTTTAGTACTTTTCTTGGTTGATCCATCTGTTCGTATATTATCTACTTCCAATGTTCCACCACAACAATCTCACTGGCTTGTAAATATTATACGTTCTATGCCTCCATTTAATGAATTACCATTGGTAGTTGTGGATAAAATAATGAATTATGTTGATTTTCCAATGAATATGAATCAAGCTAAACAACATCGTGAGAAACTAATGGATGAAAGAAAATATTTTATTTCAAAAAATAATGAGTTACTCTTTGAAAGACCATTTTCGTTATGTGAACATTGACTCAACTTTTAACAAATAGTTTTAAATTAAAAGAGCGAGTGGGATCTATGAGGTCCCACTTATTAAAACTTTAATATCTTACAAATTGAATATTGGATCAAAATAAATTATAGCTCATATTAATCCTTAGATCTCACCCTCATTTCCGCGGTAGAAATTACAACATTTCAGGTACTTGAAGAGATTTTTCGGACCTTTCTGAGCACACCCAGTACCCCATATTCCGCCGCCTATGCTGGAAAATGTCTCAAAAATAAAGAACACAAGTGGCTCATTTATTATGGGCCGCTCGTTATACTCTTATTTCCTGATAGTCGCTTAGTTAAATAATTGTGAATGAGTCAAAAAAACGTGAAACAATTATTAAAAATTATTAGTCAGAAAACTTCTTGATTTAAAAACTTGCTAAGACCGAAAAAAGGCAAAACATAGGATAAAGAACAAAACGATGAAGGTGATAAGAGACAACAGATACAAGATAGGAATATATATATGTGTGCGTGTGTGTATTAGTTATGAGAGCAATATGTCTCTGTTATAAACTCAATTACAGAAAGATATATGATGGAAAATTTATCTTTTAACAAAAGTGTTTTCAAGTTAATGGTCGGTTTTTATGACATTTAGATAGAACGGTGCAGCTCTACAAGTAGCATCAAGATGGCAGTGGAATAGAAAATACTCCACGATTTCAGTCATTCCGCAAGAACAGAGATTGTCAGATGTCATTTTTTTCTGAAAAAGTTGACGATTAAGATCTCAAAAACCGCATTGTAATTGAAAGTAAATCTGATCATATTTACAATCTATTCCGTACATTCAAAAGGTATTTAATTTGTTTGCGAACTTCGACAATGCATTTTTAAGTACAGATAATGTTGTACAAGTTGCAGTTCTTTTGATAATTTATTCCACTTGCTGACAAATCGAGAAAGAAAGTGAGTGAAATTATTCCGAATCTGGCTATGTACCAACTGAGATATATTTTTAATTTCGAACCAAGATACTTGTTTAATTAGGTATCTCACTTGGGAAATGGAAAAATACAAACAAAACTACTTTTCTCAACTAAGATACAATGAAATCACTTCATCAACATGCGCCAGATATTGTTTATTTTTATGCCCGTAATGCCATTCACAGATATGGTTTTATTATTCCATCAAATAACAGAATATCTGCAATTATTATTACTGATATACCTCTCTGGGTGTTTTTACGAACAAAATGCATGACAATATTTCAACCAGTGTCGTAGGCAGGAATTTTTTAAGGGAGCAACTGTTCTTACCACGATATACAGAAGATCTATTTATATACCTGGTAACTTTCAAAGAGATATGCAGAGCAGGAAAGCTGAATCAACGATTTATAATACTGAACCCCGAAATCTGGAGGACCTGATGGTAATGTGGATGGACGACCCACCGACGCTCTTTAATCAGTGGAAGCGCGAGGTCCGCGCAGTTATAAACTATGCAAAAATCTTCGATAAGTTAGCAGAAGTCGCTGAATGTCACAACCAAGACAAGAGAAAACTAGTATTTCTCATTGCCTGCAACGAGAAGGTAAAGGATGGCGTGGATGTCCTATCTGGTTCCGCACACTTATGGAAAGGAAGATCGGACAAACTTTGCTCCAAACTATTTTACAGATATGAACATGTTACTACAGAAAATGAGTCTAGCAGTTCAATCTCATTATCAATCCCCTGGTGCTGTATGTTTAGCTGATCCTTGCTGACTGCTTGAAGGTTCGGAAATGTCTAATTCTCCCCCACATCTTTCACAGCTGAAATCTCCACAGACTCAGACTTCAAACCGACAGAAACGAGAGACGATGACCAAGACCCATTAGTAGAAGAACGACGCACGCCATCTCGCGCATCGGAAACGCCCTTCTATAGGCGTGTTTCATAGGGTAAATACCACGATATACAGAAGGTCTACCGCATTGATCGAGACCCACCTCATCGGTCTCATTTTCATTCATTCATATCTCATTTAGTTGAGTATATTGAGATAGTAAAAACCCTAAAGGGGATTTTCCCCAATCTCATTCCTTCAAAAGTTATCGACGTTTTCCTATTTTTACTCTTATACAAGATGAAAAATTTTCAAAGCAAAGTAAATCCATAAAAGAGTGCAAATATATCGAACTTCAAGAAATAAAAGTTGTAGTTTTCAATGAATATGGTACAATTCGAAGAAATGATAAAAGCATAAAACTTTTTCGCAATAGCTACATTGTATTAAAGGAATATTAGTGCATTGATTTTCGTGGCAATCATATTCTCGAAATCGAAAGCACAATTGTTCGACATTTTCATACGGTCCCGGATCTTTTTCAACATAACCGAAAATCCTTTCCTCACAATGCCATTCTTTCATGACCAATAAAAATATAGAAGTGACTCTGACATCATAAACAAACTATAGTGCAACGGTACTTGTAGATATGAGAAAAAAAGACACTAGTAGTATTGTATTCCTTTATATAGAGCTATATCAACACATAACAGAAGGCGCTAGTAAACAGATACATTCGTCTAATACGCCACACTAAAATAGTTTGTCCATATATAGTCAAACTTTCAGATCTCTTTGACTTATTTTGCTAATTTGTCATTTAAAAAATTTTTCATCTTGTATAGGGGTAAAAACAGGAAAACGTCGATAACTTTTGAAAGAATGAGATTGGGGAAAATCCCCTTTAGGGTTTTTACTATCTCAATATACTCAACTAAATGAGATATGAATGAATGAAAACGGGAGGTATTACCTCAGATGGTTCCCTCGTGAATGCAGACTTTCTGGCAAGATTCTTGTGTCCGATTCTGTGGAAAAGCGACGGCTTTTCAGACTCGCTCTTAAAGACCCTTATCGCATCCTACAAACAGGCAATGAGAAATACTAATTTTCTCTTGTTTTGGTTGTGATATTCAGCGACTTCTACTAACTTATCGAAGATTTTTGCATAGTTTATAACTGCGCGGACCTCGCGCTCCCTCCGATGCATGGCAGACGGAGGCCTGGAGATTTGACTTGAAATAACCAAAAAAGATTGATAATACTGATGTCTACAAGACATATTATTCTCTTTTCTTTATATTCAATACTGATGTCTAGCGTTTCAAAGTCCAGACGAGTGAAACAAGTTAAAATTTCGTTGGTTTAGATATTTTTCTCTTTAAAAATCACAGTTAGCATCGGAAGAAAAAAAGTACGGGTTTTGAAATGTGAGATTACATACAGGATGGAAAAAACTAGTCTCTCTTGAGCGTTGGATAGAATTGTCTGAGGCACTCCTCATTGCAGATCCCCTCTCTTTTTCATAACCGCCACCACCGAATTCGATCGTGGGCAATCCATTTGGCCCCAAGCCGAAACCTATTTTTTGGAAGTGACACTTTTCTCTTTATGCTCCAGCAGTCTTCTGGCTTCATCCGCGGAGTTTTGGCTCTCGGGTAGCTCATTGTCAGTGTCGATGGTTGCTCCTGAGTCGTGTTACCGTCCAATCCCCGGGAATCCAGCGGAACACAGAAAAAAAACTGTTCGATGGAGATTTCGAGGAGAGCTCGACCACGTAGTCCACATGAAAGTTTCAATTCTCTGCTGGCTTCCCCACACCGACTTTGTTGTGCAACGAAGAGAGGAGGTTGTCAGTGTCTAGTAGCGAGCAGTAGCTAGGTTGTCGTTTAGTCATTTTGATGCTTCATCAATAAGCTCGCTTTGTTTTAAGAGCCACTGCACGTAAGCCACGACTTATTGCAGCGGAGTGGCCTTCAATCGATGTTCTCAAAACTTTTCCAAAGTAGGGAGCTTTTGTAGACCAAACATTTTAAGGAATTTTGGTAAAAGGCGCAAATCAAAAAGTTGTATCGTTGCTGAGATATTGATATTTTACGAAAAGCCCTGAAAAACGTAGATTCCACCATCTTGAAAATTTGCCAACTTTAAACTTCTAACTCAGTAACAACAGATTACTTAACCTTGGCGATTTTACCGTAAGTAGCAGATAGTGTCTACTACACATCCACGCAACCGCGAGCTCAAAACATGCTTTCGTTATTTTGTGATAGATGGCGCACTAAGAGCCCAAATCCAGAAAACCGTGAATTTTGCTGTAGCACCCATTTGAAACAAAGTCGATCGTGAGACTTTCAACCATGTTTCCAAATAGATTATATGCCAAAGTATATTTGGTAAACGTTTGACGGTCTCCGGTGCTTTCGTTTTCAATACAGACGCCTTGAAAGTTGCAATTTCCCCCCAAAAATGACCATTTTGAGCGATTTTGAGAAATGATTTTCTCCATGGAAACGGGACAATTCTGAAGCCCCCTAGTATACTGCTGAAGTACACC